ATTTCCCCATTTACTTAAACCTCTCTGGATGCCTGTTTTGAATTCAGCCTCAGACTACTGGAGAGACTCCCACTAGAGGCGTGACAGGCACATGATGTTAAATAAATGAATAAAACAGAGGAAACAGCTATACTGTGGTCCAAGCAAAGGTACGTATGTAGTGGTTTAAAAAACTGGTTTTGGAGATCTGCATTCAAAATCTCAGCTCCACCTTTAATAGTGACTTTGGACAACTCATTTATTCCTTTGAAACCTCAGTTTTCTCTTCCATAAAGTGAGGACAAGGGCACCCAACAGAAGTGTTATGTGTTGAAATGAGATGCCACGTTCACATTAATGCTGGCAAATAGCACGTGCTCATTACTGGGAGCTGGTGGGAGACAGAGTCAGGGAGGAAGAGTGAGTAAAGATGGCAGTCCCTCCCTGCAGGGTTCATATCTTGTCTGGCCAGTGTGGAGCTACAGCATGGCTGTTTACATACAAGAATGCTCCCCCCTAACAGAGGTACAAATTTCTGTGAGTCTCAGAGGAAGGAAAGATTGTATGTGTCCAGCCTTGCAGGCCTTTGCAGTCTCCTTTTCCATTTGTCTAATTGGAATGGCTCAGTCCCTGTCCTACATCCTCTGGGCAGCCCCTGCCCAGTTCTGTTTTTACCAGGACTCTCCAAGGCTTCCTGTCCTGGCCTTGCCTCTCATTCTGAACTCCTGCTCTTGCTAAATTCTCCATCACTGGGTTAACTCATGTTCTCTCTCAACTCCACAGGAAGCATTGCCTCTTTCCCTTCATTCCTAAAGCTCTTGCACATAGAAGGTTTTGTGGGGGGGACACTTTTACTGAATGTTCGGGGATGTTCCTGGAGAGCTGAACATTCAGAGAATGGGAAACACACTCAAAACTGAGTATGAAGCATCACTGTTCTGAGATTGTTTTCAGTCCTAGAACACTGGTTGACCTTTCTCACTGGTTGACCTTTCCTCCCCTCAGGTTGCGATCTTTCATTTACTGGGCCTTCTTTTTCTCTGGGAGTTACCACAGGGTACTCCGAAATTCCCCCCAATTTTATATGCTTCTGATCAAGGCCATCTCCAAAGACCCTTGTCTTTTCAAAACAAAAAGACCCATCAAGTTTTTCCAATAATAAAAAAGCTATGGAGCTTTAGAAAGGGATGTGAATTTACATTTCTCCTTTTCCATTAGCCTTTTCCCCTACTTACATAGTTTGAGGAATAAGAAAAGACTCCCAGGAAGGAGTGAGCTGGGGACAGGTCTGGTATCACAAAGGAAGTTCCACAGGCTGATAGGTGGGGAGGGTCCATGACTGGTGAGGGGAAGGAAACAAGGCCCTGTGGCAGGAAAGGGGACTAAGTTTGGGCACCAGTAAACCCAGCTTCCTGAGAGAGAGAACAGTAAAGGGAAGAGGCAGAGGTGATGAAGCCTCTGTGTCCCAGCATTAAGACACAAGTGTTAGTCCAAAGGGTCATATGGAGCCATGGAAGGATCTTAAGCAGGGGGGAAATAAAAGCAAATTTGAACCTCAGAAAAAGCACAGAGTAACGAGACACCTATTGCCAACTATCAGAATAGCAAACTTAGAACATAACGGGTGTGGGGGGTATGCAGTGCCCTAACACACTGCTGGGGTATAAATGGAACCCTCATTTCAGAGAGAAGTCTGGAGATGTTGGGGAAAAAGACAGAGAAATAGAGAATCTGATTGCCTTGAGCTACATGTTCCAGACTTTCGGAGTGGACAAAAACAGTAGATGTTGGAAAATCCAGGAAGATGGGGAGATGGGAGTAAGTACATGGGTATGGGGATGGGCTCCTCTCAACTCAGTGATGTCATGTTAGTAGCTTAAAGGGGGGAGCTGGTTTGACAGCACAGTGCTGCATAAGCCAACCTTCATCAGCAACCTTCTCTGAACAATGGCTACTCAGAGATCAAGTACCAGCTTTTATAAACCAGGACTCTGGCCTTGCATCCCAACAGGAAAGCCTAGGCCTATTGAGTGGGGTGAGCTGGGTCCTTAACCAAAGCAAATGGACCTAAGTGGCCCCCTTTCCCTTAGGCCTATCCCAATTCCTTCTTGATTTTCTAATGAAGCTGAGGACATGGGAAGCCAGCTCTTTCCAGCTATGTGGAACCAGAGGAAAATGGGAAAATGACAGGGATAGGTAGCAGGCCCTCTTCCTCATGCAGAGGCAGAAAGCCCCCAAATCCACGCTCTGACAGTCATGGACTTAACCATGGTTATACTGCCTCCTGTAGAAGACAGAGGACTTGGCAAGGACTCGGATGTAGGAGTGGAGGAGGAATGAACAGTATGAGGGTAACACTCAGGTTTCAGGCATAGATGCCTAGGCAGCCTAAGTGAAACGCAGAAGAAAAGAAGAGAAGATCCAAAAGGGTGTGCAGAGTTAGTGATAGTTCCATTTGGGATTTGGTGAGTTTGAAGCACACGTGGAACAACAGAAATGCCAGATAAGTAACTGTGAATTTGAAGCTCAAGAGTGATGACAGAATATATAGACACAACTGAAGCCATGTGATCACTCAGGCACTATAAAGGGCTGAGTAAGGACACCTGGGGAACAGCAACATTTAAAAAAAAGACCAACCACAGAAGGAAACTGAGAGGGAATATCATAGGAGGAAACCAGGAAGATGTGACAGTGTGGAACCCAAGAATGAAGATCAAGTGTCTTGCAGTAAATTACAGTGAGGATCAAGACAAAGACACAGTGAGATTGTCATAGCTAGTTAAGAGAGAAAAGTTTCTGGGCGCAGTGGCTCACGCCTATCATCTTAGCACTCTGTGAGGCTGAAGATGGAGTTTAAGTTCAGAAGTTCAAGACCAGCCTAAGCAAGAGTGAGACCCTAACTCTACTACAAGTAGAAAAATTAGCCAGGCATTATGATCCCAGCTACTTGGGAGGCTGAGGCAGGAGGATCTCTTGAGAGTGCTGTGAGCTAGGCCAACAGCAGGGCACTGTAGCCTGGGCAACAGAGTGAGACTCAGTTTCCAAAAAAAAAAAAAAAGAGTGAAGAGAAAGTGGTAGGAGATAAGATTCCAGCAGGCAGAGGCAAAGGGGCAAAGTGCAATGGGAACTCCTTGAAGGGTTCTAAAGGAGAAGTGAAGAAATCTGACATGCATTTTAGACTTGCCACCCTGTCATGAGGACAGCCTTAAGGGGTAGGAGTGGAGGCAGGGACACCAGTCAGGAAGCTCATGCAGTAGTCCAGCCTTGGACTAGGGTGGTCAGAGCAAGGGTTCAGACTCAGGTACATTCTAAAGGAAGATTTGACAGCACTTACCTATGACTGGGATGTAGAGTAAGAGAAAGAGGAACTGAGGAGTACTGAGGGTTGGGTTTGAATGACTGTGTAGATTGTGATGCTATTTACAGAGGTTGGCAAGACTACGGGGGGAAAAACAGGTCTAAGGGTGGGAAAAGTAATCAAGAGTTTTATATTGGCTGTCATAAGTAAAAGATGCTTAATTAGACACATTAGCAGAAAAGCTAAGCAGGCAGTTAGCCATCCAAATCTGGAGCCCAGGGAAGAAGTCACAGTTAGAGATGTTAATTTTGAAGGTATCATCATATACATGGCATCCAAAGCCATGAATGGTAAGCTATGTTCCCCTCTCACTTGCTCTGACAGAAGTTTCTAGTCTTTGTTGGGGCCTGAGGAGGCAAGTCCATTGTCCCTATAACTTGAGAGCTAGACAGGGCTAAGGACAAACCCAGCTCAGGGACTGCTTGCAGAGAAACAGTGCCAGACAAGCCAGGACTTCACAGGAGGGCTGAAGGATTTCCCTTTATCACCTCACACTCCTCAGTTAGTAAAATTAATTGAGGAGGAGGAATAAAAGAAGGTAATGTTAGGGACAATGTCACTTAGTCAGGAAAACCGAGAACAGGAGCCCCAGCTGAGGCCTGAGAGGCTAAATGTGGGTATTAATATGGCGATGCATCCTCTCCCCAACCCCAAGTCTCACCCCTTCCACACAAGGGTCACAGCTCCTAGAAAGGGCATACAGTCCACCCACTTACAACTCCCCTAGGAGGAAGTCCAGGGTCCAACAACTGGGTCATACCCACTGCTCTGCTCCTAATTCAAAGAACATGAACGCAGGCTAAAGAGCTGAGACCTCTGATTCTGAGAAAGTCAGATAAGAGTATTGAAGACCATCATCTCTCAGACTTTTATATTCACATCACTTGGGCATTTTGGTAAAATGCAGATTCTGTTCTAGTAGGCCTCAGGTGGGGCCTAAGATTCTGCACTTCTAACAAGCTCCCAAGTAAGGCTATTGCCACTGGTCTGCAGACCACACTTCAACAGCAAGGGGCCAGAGGCAGCTGTGGTGACCACCCAAATGCAGGGCACATGTCCAGTTCAGGAGAATGTGTTCATTTATGCACAAAGTCACAGAATCCATTACGGTGGACCATGGTTGTGAGGCAAGCAGTCACTTTTCAGCAGATTATACCTCTTGAGAACATAGCACTTGGGTTCTGAAGGCGCTTGAGCTTCAGCACTTTGCCCCTTAGTAAGTATGTGATCTTGGGCAAATCTCTGTGTCTCAGTTTCCTCATCTCTATAATGAAAATAATAAAATTATTATGAAGATTGTCTAGGTCAATAAAGCGTTCAGTGGCTGTTGCTCTTCTAATACTAGTATGTCCTTCCATAATAGTTAACCCACTCATGGAGGTATAGTCTACTTCTGGTGCATGGTCAAGACACACAACCCCAATCTCCTCCCACCAAAAGACTTATATCCTCTCTTTCTAATTCTTCTTGCCTTCCTTCCCACTCCCCCTGCCCTGGCCCCTGGCCCCAGTGTGGTCTGGATGGGCCCCAGAGAAGCAGGGACAGGGACAGGACGTGGGGCTATATCTGACAGGAACTTGAGGGGCTGGCCCAACAGGGGATTGGGGCCCGGCTTCCTGAAGGGAGGATGGGCTGAGGCAGGCATACAGTGCCAGAGAAGATGCCCTCCAGGGCCCTCTTCATGGTCACCTCCTGCCTCCTCCTGGCTCCCCCAAACCTGGCACAAGTCACCAGCCAAGGTAAGGTGTAGAGAGGGTGGAAATCACCCATGCCTAGGAAGAGGGAACCCTGGGAGGGAATGGAGATGAGAGGCTCTCACTGGTCCCCTACTCCTGCCCATAAATGTGCCTGGGAGGACCCAGAGCCCAACCCACCAAATGTTTCTCAGATGTCTCCTTAGTGGCCTTGGACTCAGAGCCCCTGAACTGTTTCTCCCAAACATTTGAGGATCTAACTTGCTTCTGGGATGAGGAAGAGGCAGCACCCAGTGGGACATACCAGTTGCTGTATGCCTACCCAGGGTAGGTGCCGGGCTGTACCCTAATCCCTGTATATCTGCCCCTGCACTCAGCTCAGCTGAGTCCCAACTCCAAGGGTTTCCCTGTCTTTGGGCCTATCCAGGAACTATTCCAAGTACATGCCCTAGGTAGCCACTTTATGAAAAGAAGTGCTTTGGTTATATGCAGGCTAAAGCCCCTACACAACCCCTAATCCCACCTGTCCCAAGCAGTGAGAAGAAAAACAGCAGTAACAGAAACAGAAGTTGGTCATGGGCCCAGGTCTGGTTCCTCAGGTCTGAGCATGATGACTGTGTAGGTAGGACCTCTCCTATGCCAACAGGGAGACACCCCGGGCCTGCCCCCTGAATTCCCAGAGTGTGCCCCCCTTTGGAACCAGATATGTGTGCCAGTTTCCTGCCCAGGATGAAATACGCCTCTTCTTTCCACTGCACCTCTGGGTGAAGAATGTGTTCCTGAACCAGAATAAAACCAAGCGAGTGCTCTTTGTGGATAGTGTGGGTAAGGGCCCTCTTCCCATCACCCTGCCCCTCCATTTGCTGCCCCCAGCCTAGTTTCTATAATCAGAGTTGTCCATGCTATTTCAGGACAGCAGGGATGCCCCCCATTACCAGATCCCTAGAGGTACCCCGAGATTCCCTGTCATTCCTCCCAGCTTAGGCATCCAGAACTAGATTACCACAAATCATTTCATATCAGGGACACCCTGGTCCTATTATCATCTGCATATTCACTTACTCACCTGTTCAGCAGTTACAGAATACCTGCTGTGTGCCAGACACTGTGCTTGGTGATGAAGTTATACGGATAAAAAGAGATCCCTGCTTTCAAGGAGCACTCAGTCTTATAAACCATTACCCTGCACCAAGGTGACTGTTCTCATGAGGGAAGAGCAGAGTAAGAGGCCTTCCTGGCCTGCCCTTCAGGAGAATGGTCTATGATCCATCTGAACCCAAAATGCTGCCCCCAGTTCAGCCACCAGCACCCCCCTGTCTATAGTTCATGGATTGAGCCACAGACTGTGGCACTCAGGGAGTTCTGATGTGCCCCTGTCTTGTCCTCAGGCCTACCAGCTCCCCCTAGTATCATTGAGGCCAGAGGTGGGAGCCAGCAAGGGGAACTTCAGGTCAGCTGGGAGGCCTCAGCTCCTGAAATCAGTGAATTCCTGAGGTATGAACTCCGCTACAGCCCCAAGGATTCCAAGAACTTCACTGATCCCACAGTCATGCAGCTGATGGCCACAGAAACCTGCTGCCCCACTCTGCAGAGGCCAAACTCAGCCCCTGATCTGGACCAGCCTCCATGTGCTCAGCCCATGATGCCCCAACAAGATGGACTGGAGCAGACTTCCCCAACTAGAGAAGTAGTCCAGCCCTCTTCTTCTCTACCTCCTATCCCCTAGCCCCAATTTTGCCCCAGGAAAGGATAGGCCATACTTGGGGATTCCAAGCTGGGTTGGTCCTTGGGGAGTTACAGGCTCTGATTAGCCCTCAGGAGCCATGGCTAGTTAGAAATTTCCCACTTTGGGTCATTCACACTGGCAAAATTGAGGGCTTTTGTCTCCAAATTAGTGGAAGATAGACCTAAAACCCCCTGAGCGATACCTCAAACCCACTGACCTCGCCCCTAGTTTGTGTACATAACTATCAAGTAAGGAGCTGAGCTCCTCTCCACAGGGATGCTATGGAGGCTTCACATACACAGGATGGAGGCTGTCTTGGCTGAAAGGCAGACTAGGTCCTGAGGCTGGGACTTTTCTCCCAAGGCTCCATCTCTGACAGTGGGAGGAAGCTGCCTCATCTCAGGGCTCCAGCCTGGCAGATCCTACTGGCTCCAGCTGCGCAGCCAACCAGATGGGGTCTCTCTCCGTGGCTCCTGGGGATCCTGGTCCTCCCCTGTGACTGTAGACCTGCCTGCAGATGCAGGTGAGTCAACAAGAGAATAGGGAGATTTCTTTTTTAAGTCTCTGCTAGGTACAGTGGCTCAAGTCTAGCATTCTGGGAGGCTAAGGCAGGAAGATCACTTGAGCTCATGAGTTCAAAACCAGCCTGAGCAAGAATGAGACCCCATCTCTACGAAAATTAGCTGGGCATTGTGCCAGGCACCTATAGTCCCAACTAGTTCACTTCAGGCCAGGAGTTTGAGGTTGTGAGCTAAACTGATACCATGGCACTCTAGCTTAGCCAACAGAGTGAGACTATCTCAAAAAGTCTCTAGAGAGCTTGATATTGATATGAGGGCTCTGGGGACCATGGTCCCCTGATGACCTCAAACTTGCCATTGGCCAGGAACAACTATGTTCAGGAGAAACAGCAGTAGCAAATGTTCTAAGTTATATATGTAAAAATGATCTGAATACCCTATAGAGTACTGGGACGTGAAACCTGATGAACTTATTTTTTTTTACCTCAGTGGCAATTGGACTGCAATGCTTTACCTTGGATCTGAATAATGTCACCTGTCAGTGGCAGCAACAGGACTATGCTAGCTCCCAAGGCTTCTTCTACCACAGCAGGGTACAGTGCTGCTCCAAAGATAGGTAAGGATTGAGTCTGATGTCATGGGAGAAAGGCACAATTTTTTTTTTTTTTTTTTTTTTTTTGAGACAGAGTCTCAAGCCGTCACCCAGGTAGAGTGCCGTGGCATCATTGCATAGCAACCTCCAACTCGGGCTCAAGCGATCCTCTTGCCTCAGTTTTTCTATTTCAGTCGAGACAGGACCTCACTTTGGCTTAGGCTAGTCTCGAACTCATAAGCTCAGGCAATCGGCCTCAGCCTCCCAGAGTGCCAGGATTACAGGTGTGAGCCACAGGGCCCAGCCTGAGAGGCACAATCTTACAGAAAGAATAGATAATTCTTGGTCCTCTTTGCTATCCTCCCTTGGTCCTCTACACTCTCCTTCCTTGCTTCAGAACCAAACAACCTCCATACTCTCTAATTTATTCTCTCATCCTCTATGGGATATTTTATCTCCTCAACCTCCCTCTTTCCCCATTGGGAACACTTTGGTTTAATTCATCCTTAATCATGTCACATGGACCACTGCAACAGCCTACAGTCCCATTCACCTCCAAGTTATCCCCCATGCTGCTGAGGAAAGTGACCTTTTCCAAGCTCAAAGTTTACATGATCTTTGTAAAATTCTAACTTTGCACAGTCTTTCCATTCTCAGATGGATACTGAAATTTCCCATTATCTATCAAGTCCATACAACATTGAGGCTGGCCTTCAAAGACTTCTACCAAACACCTCAACAATCCTCCTTCACTCTCAAAAAAAAGCCTGTAACTCTCTCCATATCCAATCTATAACCAGGTTTTGTTGATTTTACCTATGAAATATCTCTAGAATCCATCTACTTTTGTCTATCATCACCAATACCCTAGTGCAACACATCATCACCCTCACTTGGACTACTGAAGAGACCTAGTCAATGATCACTTTGAATCTTTCAGAAGATTCTCCACTTAAGAGCGAAGGAATCTTTAAATATGCAAAATAAACATAACACTCACTGTTTAAAATCTTTGATAGCTTTCCACTGACATTAGGATAAAGATAAGGACTTAAAAAGTTCTAAGAGACTCAGGCACTGCCTATGCCTTCAGCTTCATTTTATCCTATGCTATCCTGGCCCCATATGTCCCTGCATATCTGGCATATTCTCTCTTGCCTTTAGGTCTTTGCAAGTGCCATTTACCTAGCCCTCCTGTCTTTATTCAACTTCTACTTACCCTTCAAATCTCAACTCGTGTTACTTCCTGGGGGAAGCCTTCCCTGACCTTCCTTACTAGATTCAGTGACACTATTATACATTCTTGTTGTATTACTCCTTTCTAAGTATTTATCATAGTTATAATACTACATTTATATGCTGTGTGATTATGTGTTTGATAATAGAAGTCTCTCTCAGAACTTCCAGTTGAGAAAGGCTGATCTTGACTGTATACGATCCACAAAGGCAAAGTCAATGTCTGTTTTTACTCACCAATGTATATCCTTTCCTGACACAGTGCCTGGAAGATAGTAGGCGCTCAGTAAAAAATTGTTGATTTAATGAATAATGAAAAAAAATTGCTTTTAACAGCTTTAATGTAGTCTTCTAGTTTTTTATAACTATATATAATATTTAATTTTTTAGTATAAGTTGGATTGTATTTATGTATATAGTTTAACTTACCTTTTTACTTCAAAAATGTCTTAGAGATCATTACAAAGAGAAGTAACTTTTTTTTTTTGAGACAGATTCTCACTGTATCACCCTCAGTAGAGTGCCAAGGTATCACAGCTCACAGCAATCTCCAACTCCTGGGCTTAGGTGATTCTCTTGCCTCAGCCTCCTGAGTAGCTGGGAACTACAGGCACTTGCTACAATGCCCAGCTATTTTTTGTTGCAGTTTGGCCAGGGCCGGGTTTGAACCCACTACCCTCAGTATATGGACCTTGTGCCCTACCCACTGAGCCACAGGCGCCGCCCAACTCATTTTTTTTAATAACTGCACAGATACCCATTGCACAGAGGTGCTGTGAATGTATTAAAGGGTGGCAAAATGGAAGTTATCATTCCCTTTACCAAAACCTGCTCTTCCTCTACTAGCCTCCACCCTACCATCAACTCAGTTTTCTAGGCCTGAAAAATAGAAATCATCCTGGCCTTCTCCCATTCCTACACCTTCCAGGTCCAATCAGAAGTAGTCTTGCCATTTCTACCCAATACCTCTTCTCTCATCTCTTTCCTTTTACCCTACTGCCACTACTCTGTTTACACACCCCCATCATTTGCACATGAAAAATCAAAATAGTGTCCTTATGGATTTCTCTGCTTCTAGTCTGTGCTCACAAATCCTTTCTTTCTTTTTATTCTTTTTTTTTTTTTTTTTTTTTTTGAG